TACAAAAAAAAAAAAAATAAAAACCAATGCGTTTAAAACTTAATTTTTACCAAATTAATAAATCAATTTAAAATTCATACAAATTTGTCTGTACCTTTTGATGCTTAATTTTTTTTTTTCGTAAAGTAAAATATATATATATAGATATATATAAAATACGTTATATAAAAAGTATTTGGTAACTTTTCAATTGAATTTAATTTAATATATTACATGCGTCAAAAATAACTATTCACGAATTAATAATACGACATTTATTTTTTTTGAATTTTAAATCACCTTAGCTTATTTTAATATTCCTATACGTCCGAAGTGTCGGTCATCGTGTTGAATGAAAAAAAAATAAAAGAAAAAAAAAATTAAAAAAGTAAAAAAAAATATTTAAAATATCATAAGAAACGTAAAAAAAAAAATCAAAAAAAAAGAAAAAAAAAAAAAAAAAAAAAAATCTCTCTACAAATGTATTTGCATATCTGTTAATGACAAAATTTAGGCAAATTGTATGACGTTGTCTGACGTTGGTTTCAATTTATTTATCGATATGTATAATAATTTAGTCATATTAATTTGTTTCAAGCAAATTTGACTAAACTAATGTTTCTTTTTACGTAAATGGACTTAGGTCAATTTTCAAATTAAACAATTGTCAAGAAACAATTTGAAAAATGAAATATCATTTAAAGTATACCTAATATCACTTCAATTTTCTTAACAAATAATGACAAGATATCAAATATAAGACGTATTTTTAATCTTAAACGTTAATTACATTTGTCAAAATTGCAAATTGCAATATATCGGTAAGATTTACTAATGTTCTGCATATGGCAGTGTTTTCAAGTATTTATGATGCACAGGAGATATTTAAAGTAATAACTATTTGATATATATATATATATTTTTTTTTTTCATAACTAATAGACCTGACATTTTGATACAATGGCGTGACAAGGGCTATTTTTTCAATTTTTTTACCGATTTTTTTTTTTAAAGACATTTACGTTATTTACAATTTGACATTATTTATTCTTCAACGATGTTTTATATAAAATAGTGTATGGTGCACTTTTAAAAATTCTTGCAAACCCAATTTTTACTTTTTCTCCATTAATGTTTCTTTTCATCTATTTTTTTTGAAGATTTTTTCTTGAAACGAATTTCTCTCATTTTCTACATTGTGTTTATTAAATCATAATAATCCTGTGGTTTATACAGGAAATGCTTATATTCCCTTTTTGGTTTTTTCACATTTTTTTTTTTTTTTATTATTATGGAAATTGAACTCACACTATTTTTATAATCAATAATTACAGCAATTTCTTTTACCGAACAATTTTAAATTTGTACAAAACGTGTGGGCACTTTTTAAATAATTAAATATTAACTAATAATTCACATGAGAAGTTTACAGTAAATTGAGTATAAATTACGTGATATCAAATTTTAATAAAAAAAAAAAAAAAATTGACTTACACCACTTTTCAAATAATTAAAAAATGAAATATTAAGGGAAACAGTAAATGAGTTATTATTTTTCCCCTAACGAATTTTCGAGAATCACACTTAAGAATTTATTTACCTGTTCGTATAATCACCTCTTCGTGGATAAATTTGTTGAGTGTAAAAAAAAAAAAAAAATAAAGAAAACAAATAATAATAATAATAATTAAGTTTAACAATTTAAAATCCCTTTAACAAGAACACACAGTGAGCACATATTTAGTCGATCGATTGATTGAAAAATGTTGAAACGAATGAATCAGAAAATTCAACAACAAAAAAAAAAAAAGAAAAATTTTTAATATATATATTACTTTTTAACACTTGCTGATGAAAAGACAAAGCAATACTATACGATTCTATACAGTTGGACTTGATTATTATTTGAAAGATTGTACGTAACAAGTATGTAAAACTAGCGATCACATGATCTACCTTTTTCCTGTTCACATATTGATCTATAGGTCATCGACTTAATTATCAGATTTGTTCACACAATCGTAATGAAACACGATACGAAAGGGCAAAGGTTATTCTTATATACGTTTTATACGAAATGAATATTGTTATATAACAATGTTTAAAATTTGTACGAACAATACAGGTATCTCTGAACAATAATTTAACCAATTAATATAAATTTCACTTGTTGCTTTTTTTTCTTTTTTCTTTTTTGGTTATATTTATAATTTGTATTATTATAAATTTATTTATTTATTTTTAAATAATTTATCGATAACAATGAAATGAGAGAATAATTACAATGTAAAAGGACTGGGGGTGTTTGTGATAAATAGTAATAGAAAAAAAAAAAAAACAAAGAAATGGTGGGACTATAGAGGGAGTGTGTGTGAGAGGTAAACTCGAGACCCTGTAGGAGGGGGACGCGCCATACACATTGCTAGGCTGAAAATTTGGGGGGACAACTTCCGTTGCATCG